CATTCTTTTTTAATGCAATGCTCCTTGACATCAAAAATAAATTATGAAGAGGTTCTTCACAAAAAGCTTCCCTCTGGACAAATCTTCAGGTCCTGCTAGAAGCCTAGTCTCTTCGGAAAGAAAGTCATCTTAACAGAGGCCAAGATCCTCAAATGGTCTTTCCTGTACCAAGCTACACTCCTGCCCAATATAAAACTGGGACCTAGAAAACAGTTCTGGTTTATCCTGGTACCCTTTTACTGGGGGGGGGGGTGGAAGAAGAGAGAAAAAATTGCTCAATACTACTGGCAAATGCTTTTATCTTTTACCTATGAAAAAGCAAAGACCAATGTGGTATGCAGAGACCAATGCGTAGGTATAAAATTTATGAAACTGCTGGACTGAAAAGCACACCACAGGTGTTAAGGGATAGCACTTTACAAGTATCAAATGTGAAATTATGTCAGAAGTTTGTGTCTGAAGGAAAAATTGACACTCTCAGTTAGATCTTCTGATTTAATTTCTGAAGTGAAATTAAAATTTCTCATTTTAAGATGGAAAACGAAATAAAGCTGGAGCATTACTCTTAATACCCACCTGTAAGAATTCAACATACAGAAGTTTTTCTCCTCTGTATTTACATTCACATTGATAGAAGTTAGAAGTTGGGAAATTTCCTTTTTTTTTTTTTTTATTTTGGACTTCAGCTTACTAGGTTGTCTTGGTCATCCAACTGCCAAGGTCAAGTCTTCAAAAGTTAATGGAGTGAACAAGGAAGCCCCTGTTCTCTATGAAGCAACAGCTCTGATTGTTGGAACAAGTTTAAGTTTTCTGTTTCCTTTCAAATGATATAAACCACAGAACGATGGAGAAGTTCAGGTTTCTTATGCAAGTACTGTTACTGAAGAGCAGAAAGAAGCATTTAGCCAAAGCAAAACCAGGCAAGCTAACCCTTACTCTTCTCACAGGAAACTGCTTCTTTGCATATACACATGCAGTGGTGGAAACAGTACTAACTGAATTTTGTTGTAGCTAAGCATCTGAAAGTCTTATTCTATTGCTGTATAAACAAAGTAGCTAACGTGAAGATTGCTGTGAAATGGGCAAGTAACATGCCATAGCCTGAAAGAAAGCTTTAGTGTAAAGCATAGGATACACAGAGACTATCATATTAACTCCTTTTACAGCCTAGATGATATCAGAGATTACATCTGCAAAGGCGGTTTATACAAGAGATCCAAAGTGAGAAGAAATGACTGAATAAAACCGTTATGATTTATGAAGGCTGCCATTACAATTTACCAGTAAGAGATTCCTTTTTCACATTATTTAGATTTGAATTTTGTTTGAGAAAGCTACTCAACAATAAAAAAGGACATTAAAAGTTGCTTTGATAAAACTATAAGAAAGCCAAGTTAATCAGTCAAGTGTAGTATTCTCAATCCAGATCTGTTTACTGAAAGGTGAAACATGAAAGACGCTATTCTTAGAGAATAAAAAGCTTCTTACTTAACTGAGGTTTTGCCAAGGCAAGGCTTGTCTATTTGCCAAATGACAGTCTTCATCAAGCTGGATTATTTCTCATTAACTCCATTTTTCTGAAGTAATAGTTACCTGCACTACATTACCTGAAAGATTGTGCTCCATTATAATCAGTAGCTCAGACTTTCTCAGGAGGAAAGTCAGAGAGTTTCAGAAAACCTCTGACAAAATCTTACAGAAAGAGAACCATTAAAGAGATTTCAGAATTGTATAATTTCATTCAGTTTCTTGTTCTCTTAACTGAGGCATTTACATATAATTTCCCTAGCATAATAGGTTCAAGGTTAAATTGCAGCACATTTAACTAGTGACAGTTGTAGTGAGTTCCTAGTCAGGAAGCATTTCAGATAGGCTTAAATGCTTTTAAGAATACCTTTATTATCTCTTTAAACTGTGCATGTTTAAATAAGACAGTGTTATGAATTCACTAGAACAGTTGAAAACTTCAAGTGAAAACTGAAGGCTAAAGTGCTCAAGATTACATAACCACACTTTGTGTACAATTTAGTAATAAACCACGTGACAGGCTGCAATAGCAAGTCAGCATTTACCAGACCAAAACTTCTGAAACCATTAGATCTAGCACTACGGTTGCTCTGTTTAATAAATGGGGTATACTACTAATGTACAAAATTACTTCCTTATGTCTCTTCAAGAGTGGGAGAAAAAGGAAGCGAGGCAGTAAGTTTTTAAGTACTGCATGATCCAATAACAGGCCCTCGGTAATCAGACAACTCCAAACCTACATATTCATGAGGTTTTCAGATCAGATACTGCTTCAGTGAAGCAAACTGACACCTCTGTAAAGTCAGCTAAATAAAATTCTGTAACAAGCTAACAGAATAAGGCCCAAAGAAAAGCAGTTTATTTCTAAGCTCAATGAAGTATCTTCGTCACTACTGTGATGCATCTAAACAAAGTTAAGCCAATAAGCAGTTGTATTAACATAATTAATTACATACCTCACAAGTGCTGAGGATTGCATACCTGAGTAGACATGTCCTATCCTCCTCCTAAGAACACTGAACAGTTCATTTGATAAAAAAGCAGAACTGGCCATGAAATTCTGATCACAACAAGCCAGGTAGGCCATCTTGAATAAAGACTCTGGAAACCACTGTTCTGAGCTACAGCACTTCAACTCACGTCCAAGTATTTATTTTGCTATCATGTAACAAATACTTCAAACCGCTTTCTCAGAAAGAAGGCTGCATTTTTGATAAAACGAGCAGCAGATCTGATCCGGTGTATTAAAGTTATATTCCACTACTACTTACAGACAAGCCCTGACACAAAGCTCCCCACTTTGTGTGCAGCCTGTGAAACACAACAGACTGATGTCAAGCTTGCTGATGAGCACAAGGGAAGCTACAGCAAAATTAGTATTTCCCCAAGAACCGAGTCTTGCGTTCTAGTCCTCAATTTGCCTCTAGCTGTCCCAATTCAGAAAGATATTAAAGAGATACATAAAATTGGAACCCTAATGACACCTGCTTTTGCTTCCCTGAGACCATATAAACTTCTTTAAATATGAGGGAGAAAAGAGAGAGGGGGGGAATAAAATGAGGTATGGGTTTACTACTAAATGTTGCATACACTGATAGTGATAGGTGCAGCAATACAAATATCAGGGGAAAGTTTAGCAATATTATGCCAAAGAGTTAGGTTATTATAGAAAATTCATTGATACCACCTGGTAACTGTCACTTAATTTCTACCTCATATCACATTTTAGTACTTTGAGAGCACAAAAGCGAGAGTACTATTATGGTATCAAATATAGGATACCTTTAAAACAGGCAAAATAGAGTAGGAACTGTCAATTCAGAAAATACACCATGAATTACATGTCCAAAATCTTTAGATGTGCTCTAGAAAAAGGAAACTGCTTCCTTCCATTATCTGGTAATTATATGTGATATCAGGTTACACCTGATATGTACTTAACAGATAACTGGGTTCAGGAGTATACCCATGGAATTTCTGTTACACGTTAAAGAAAATGACTTTCCCCCTCCCCTTCAAACTTCTCTGTACTTTTTTCTTTTTTTTAAATATGACATTGTCCTCACACAAAATATCCCAGTAACAGTCCTTGGTTAGCACAGTCCTCTGTAACTAACAGTAGAGAAGTGTTCCCCCTTCTTACCCATAAGATCAAATGCCACATAAAATTCCTTCACCCTTCCTAGAAGCATATTAAGAATTAAAACCAAAACACCTCACATCAAGAATAACACAGAAGTCAAGAAGAAGAACAAGCTTTTTTCATTAAAGAAAGTGGAACATTTTCACTTAAGGCAAATTGCTCAGGACCTTCCCCAATTGAATTCTGCTTTCAATATTAGGTCAACCTTGCCTTGGGGTACTCCCAAGGTGCCTTCCAATCTAAATTCCTTAATGATCATTACAGAACTTACTCCCAACCCAAGCAGCCGATTATAAAAGTCAACTTTCGGCACAAATCATTGGGAACTTCAGTAGAAGATGCACAGCTTAAGATGAGAAAGACTCAAAAATGTGTAGAAAACACACTCTAAAACTGCAAGCTGGGCATAGAAAGTAAGCTAAAAACCAAGGAGGACTGGTTTACACCTTCACAGGAACAGTGCTGAAGTCACTATAGAAGTAAAGGAAGAATGGCTGATGCTCACAAATTCTTCAACCCAGATGGAAAGTTTTACAAAAAATAGGAGCACACTTTTTGTTTCACTTCTGTTACAGCAACGCCTTTGTCAAGTAGCTAGATAAACCATCACACATGAAACAGTTGAGTTGGGAACAAAGTGCAGAGCATCTACTTTTTAACCACAGCATAGAGTGGTTACTTTATTTTTAAGTGTATTTTATGTCCTTTAATAGTATTCACAACTATAATCAATTTTACTTTTTACCTTCTATGTGTAGTCAGTGTTTTCCAAACACATGAAGCTTTTACTTCACAGAAAACACTTTTTCAGCTGTTCTAAAGCTACAAAAGCCATCAGGAAGTGCTATCACAAAACCTTCTTATAAAACAAGTTGCAGATGCTCTTTAAAAGCACATTTAAACACTGCATTCTTAAAATTCTATATTAAAGGTGATCACTTCATAACTCTATAAAGGGAAACACAGGAAACAAACTATTGTTTCATCTATTCATGCCAAACAAGAGTCTTCTATTTAAGTCACCATTTAATAAAATGTAATTAGAGATCTTCTCCATGTTTTAAACAAATCTTACAAGGCTCAAATACCCTTCTCCTAGTTCAACTACAATTTAAGCCTTGCAGCTGTTTTTGTGGGTCTTTTTTATAGCAGTAATCTTGTTAAACTAGTTTCAGCTAATATATAAATATATTCCGGATAACTTTATACTCATGTTCTGTGCAAGTAACTAAATGGGGCAAAAAATATTCTACACAGTATCAAAGTGTGTTGGGAAGACCCTCAGGTGATCACTTTGAATATGCAAAACGTAACAGATCACAACACTTACTTTTCATAGACCAGTTCCTCATCCGTACAAAAGTAGTGGGTATTTACGGTACTTTTCGGTTTATTTCGTAAAGTAGCGAAGTACAACCGATCTGAAAGACAGATTAGGGCAGAGCGTCGGTCGGTGCGGGCAGATGCCCCGCCGGCTTCCCGGGGCACGCCTGTCACCCCGGGGCACGCCTGTCACCCCGCGGCCCGGGGCGGAAGAGGCTCCGCCGCTCCTTTTTCTGCTGCGTGAGCGGCGGCGGGAGCGCCCGGACCGCTCCGCCCGCGGGCCCTGCCCTGCAGGGCCCCCCCGGGCACCTTCGGGAGCGGCCCCGCGGGCGGGGGAGGCTCTGACCCCGGGCACAGCCGCACACAGCAACAGGTGCCGGCCCCGCGCCCTCCCCGCCGGGGGAGCGGGGGCAGGACCCGCCGAGGTGCCCCCGCGGCAACCGGGGGCAGGCAGCCCGCCGAGCCCGCCAGGAAAAGGGGCCGAGCACGCAGCAAAGCCGGGGCAGGGAGGCGGGAAAAGCCAGCGGGGTTCCTCTCTGAGGGAAGCCTCGGGACCCCCGCGGGCAGGGGACGGGGCGGCTCCCGTCCCACTCTCACCTTTCACGAACTCCGAGGCTCCCCCCAGCACTTCGGAGGCAGCCGCCGGCGGCTCCATCTTAAACAGGGCGCGGAGCAGCGAGGCGCGGGGCGGCTCCGAGCTCATGGCGCTCTCGGGCAGCGCCGGCGGGGCCGGGGCGCGCTCGCTGGGACCCGACCCGCTGCCCGGAGGGGCCGCCCGCCGGGGCCCACGGTGCTGCGAGCGCGGCGGCCGCAGCCCGCATAGGAGCGGGAGCGGAGCCGAGAACGAGCCTCGGGACACGGCGGGCGAGCGCCCACAAGGACTCCAGCTCCACCCCGCCCCCAGCCGGGAGACGCCCCCGAATAAAGCGGCAGCGGGCGGTTACCAAGCGACCGGCGGCGCTCTGGCAACCGCGTTACGGAGCCTTTGTCTCGCCCGGCCCAGGGCTGACGCTGAGAGTGACCGGCCCCCCCGCGCTCGCCCCCCGGCCCGGCAGCGCCCCTGCTCCGCCAGGCAGCGCCTCTGCGCCCGGCGCGGCCCCGCCTCCGCCCCGCCTGCCCTGCCGCCCACCGCCCGGGCAGCGCCGCCGCGCCCCGCTGAGCTGCTCGCTGCCTTTCCCCGCCCGGGGGCGGCCCGTGGCACAGGGCCCCGCGGGGACAGGGCGGGTGCCGAGGTGCAGCTCGGCGGGGAGCGGCGCTGGGCCGGAGCGGCGCCTCAGCAGCTCGGGCGGGCTCCGGCCGGGGGCGGGCGGGCGGCCGAAGCGGCTCTGGGGGAGCCGAGCACGGGCAACCGCGCAGCTCTCGCTGCCCTACCTGGGGCACCACTCACCGTGACAGACAAGCCCGCTCGCCAATCAAGGCCCGCCCTTCTGCGCCTCCAGCCAATGAGCGAGCGCTGCTCGGGGAAGCGCCCCGCCCACGGCCGCCCGCGGGCCGGGGTTTGTGCTGCTCCTGAGGCGGGGGCCGGGCCGGGCGGGGCAGAGCGGGGGGCAGCGGGGCTCGGAAAGGCGCTTGCGGATGGAAAGCGCTCTGCTAACGCGCTGGCTCGAGCTGTGGGCGCGTTCTTCTGCCACCCTCCTCTTTAGAAAGAATTGGTAAGTGCCAAACAAGGCAGACAGTCCGTCTCATATTTACAACGAAAGCAAAAAGTTGCAAAGAAGAGAGAACTCGAGGAGGGAAAAAAAAAAAAAAAAGAGAGAAAAAGAGTTATTCTTCGCCCAAACACCCCCGCCCGCCCCTTGAAACACCTTAAAAAGATGTTGTAATACAAAGCCATATGCAGCCCTGAGGTTGACATTATTATCACCATCTTTCCCAAACACTATAAATAACCTACTGTAACTACCAGTTCAGATAATTAATCCCAGTGTGTCTGCAAATGAGACTAAACATGAGTGTGCAACACTTCTCACTCCTCAGTTTTTATTCTAGTGTCATAAGCACTGGATAATCTTTAAAGCTTTACAAATAAGGTGAAGTACTACACAAAACACTTCACTAGTGCAACTTGTTGTGTAAGTTGCTTATTTATTTTTTGTCTTGGTTCTAATAATTTATACCTGTGTTCTTACATTGCTTTATTTTTTTTTTAAAGTTCCAGAGCTAATATTCCTAAATATGAATTTGTTTGGACCTGATCCTGTGAACCTAATCAGAAATACCATTCTCAGTACTGTTCCGTACAAGATGCTTACATGAATGAAACTATAGCTGTAACGGCACATTAAATAAAGGTTGTTGGTGGAAGGTATTTACTTTTCATGGAAATCAATGGGTTTATTTTTCCTTATATAGGAAAGTCCTTTCTATACGACTTTCACTTGTATTTAACACTTAATTAATTTTTTTTTTTTTTACTTACAGGCAATTGTCTAAGGGGTACCATAGCCTTACCTGTAAGAAAAGGGGTAGTAAGGTATTATCTCCAGAACCATAGTTTTTATAACACCCTTTTTGACTCAAACTTTCACTACAGTTCCAGGTAACATTTCTAAGTCTATGCTGCACTTAAGGGGAGTTTGAATGAGCATACTCAAAACAGTCTTAAGAATACTTTCTTTGGCAACAGAAGCAAAGATGGAGCAGTGGAACCATCTGCTATCTGGAATCCAGAATCCTTAGAAACTATTTGTGTTGAAGCCTATTATTTGTAAACCCATCTAGCTGGACGCTGAATCTAGGAACTGAAGAAACTGAAGCCCTGCTGTCAAATGTTTGCATACTGCTTATACACCTTTTGCAAAACTACAAATACTATTTTCATTGCATAGAAGTTCTCATTTGTGGCAATTAGCAACAGCCTTTGTAAGCATTGGAAATATTTAAACTGATCTTTCTTTTCTTCCCTGTAAAAATATGTACAGAATAACCAAGTTTTTTCAATTTCAGTATTGCATCTTGTAATTTTTACTATGATAATTTAACTAATTCTTCCTTGTAAAATCCTAGCTTTAAGAATGTTTTCAACCAGTACAACTTTTTATAATCAATTCTAATTACTCGTTTTAACATTTGATATCAATATCAAGGCTACAGTGACATCTTGTGGCATTTTTTGGTAAAGAAGCAATTTTCTTGTAGTCCTGTTACAGTATTTGAACACTAATATCCTGACTTTTTCAACTAGGATTTATCTTTCAGGTATTTTAAAACCCTATGTTGCATAAGCACTAATTTCTACAGAACATTCAGAGGTGGTGATGAATCTGTTTAGACTCCAAAATATTTACAAATGACATCTAAGTAATAACTTAGAAGAAATAATCACATGCATATTATTATGTTTTTCACTAAAGAATCCCAAAGCACTTTTATAATCACCAAAGGATAAAAATCAGCCTTTAAAAAATAAGCAAACAAAACCCTTTTGGTTCCCAAACAAAATGAATTATGACTGGAGCTGAAGTCCTACCTTTGAATTTTCTTTCCTATCTAAGACTAACTGCTTAAGGCTGTGTCTTTTTGATGTCTTTTCTTCCCACACAAGTGGGCTTTACCTAAATTAAATGAGTATGTGGCAACAAGTACACGTTTTTTAAAAAAAGAAATCTTGGTGCTGCTCATCTGTATGCAAACTGTGAGCTTACTTTAGACATCTTAACACTGAAAATTTTGGTAAATAATCTGAAAATCATCACAAATCTGCTTTCTGTATTTTATTTGACAATGGTACAAATTAAATTTAACAATATCATTAAAAGCTTGTTCTATTAATTTTTCACTGATACAGAAGAACAAAAAAAACCCAGAACAAATCAAAACAACTCCTTCCATCCAACACAGAGCCCAATACTAAGATTTGGCTGAGCTGACAGTTTGTTTCACATTTTAAAAATAAGATAAACAACAACTGTGAGTCTTCACAATTCTAGCTGATACTGCACAGAACAGAAATTACGGAAGACCAGTAAGTAAATGAAATACAGTAAACTACAACTGGGAAAGTTGCATTTCTGGAAAGATGATAGACCTGTTTGTATACTACTAAGCACTACAACACAATAATTAAAAACTACTTTTCACTATTACAACAAAATTAAGCAGACTTTACAGTGCCATGTAAAGATTTTGCCCTTTAAGTCTTACAAAAGTACTAGGAAGACTTCACTGAACAGAAATCAAATCCTTTAGCACTCATAGAACACGGCAAAAGAATCCTCTGTTCCCCCAAAGACTCACACCCTGCTGTAAAAAACTTGTCACATTCTTCAATCACTTTTTGTTCAGCTAATGTATTACAAAAAAATGATAAAATTATACATTTTTTGTGCAGATGCTATTTGTTTACCAGGTATTAGCTCTTATTGGTTGCCCACAGATACCTTTGAACTTATACTAAGAATCAATTAAAAGCTGATGCAGATGAAACTAAATCTGCTTTGGATGCCAAATCTGATTCTGTGGTCCAGGAAAATCACTGTCTTTTGTTCTTTCTTCCATACCATAAAAAAAAAAAAAAACACAACAAAAAAAAACAAAACAAAAAAACCACCAACCATTCTGCAACTGCAATGCAAAAGGTTTGTCCTGTCTATGTTAACACAAGGTTTCCAGAACTACAGAGCCCCGGTTTAACAAAAGCTATTGACAGCAGCTCTGTTTCTTGCTACAAATGAAGCCAGGGAATTCAGAGACTGATAACAGTCCATCCCTGTTAAATATTACTGTAGTGTAAAATACTTTTTTTTCCTAATGCTTTACCCATTCATTGCACATTTTAATTCTGTTGTCATAGTCACCAAAACCAGAGAAGGAACTAGAAAGTAAATACGCATTGAAAGAGTAGTTAAAAAAAACAACAGATCTGTACAATTACAAAATGTACACTGTAATAAATGTAGAACAGCTTGCTTTTACTAGGAATTGTAAATAAGACATTTTTAACAAGTGAGGATTTTCCTGGGCACATTTTTGTATCAATGTAAATGCAAAATATCAAAATAAAACTATGTACTAAAGAGAGTATTAATAAATAATATCCCGTCCATTTCTTTGACTGCTTATGTAAGTGTCATATTTCATGTATTCATGTTTCTTACATTTCCAACTGCTAGGATTTACCTTTCAGCTGCTTGCAGTGTTTCAGCAACTCTAGGCAAATCAATAATAGGAAAAAAAGCCACATCACAGATCATTTTCCACTATCTCAGCAGGAATAGATATGGTAGGCAATGGTTTTAGGACTATCTGAGATTAAGGTGAGGTACTCTTCTTGCTTTCATAGCAGCTTCAGAACATCTCAGGACACCGAACAGCTTATATACAAACTTCAAAGGGGTTTTGTACAGGAGTGTAGAAGCCTGGCCAGCAGTTCACTGTAGCTCTTCTACAGTTTCACTGGGAACAGAAGGAGGTGAGGAGAGGGAAAGCAAGGAAGCATCTCAACATATAACCGTCAAAAATATGCCTGGGTCTCATTAGACTAGATACGTTTATTCAAGAAAAAAAAATCAAAATGTGAGATCTGAAGGGTGGGAGTGCATTTTTGACTGCATGTTTCTAAAGAATTGGCCTAATAATTATAGTAGCTTTTCAGATTTTAAGGAGAGAGGATGATTTTATCACAGCTAAACATTGTTATATATTAAGTTTTAGAAAACTTACCTTGGTGAATTAGTTAGAAAGGAAAAAAAAAAACCACATAAAAAGCCC